GGAATTTAAAACAAATGAATTAACAAATCCTATTGTTTCACTAATTTAAATTAAAAAATGATCATAAAAGAATTTTTGTCAATTTTGAAATAACTTAATTGTAGAAATTTACTGGTTCTCAAATGTTTTGTGTCTGGGGACCCCTATAAGTGTGAAAAATTTCTAGGGACCCCCTCATAAATCTCATCCTGTCATTTTAACCCTTAAATGTCATGGKAATATTATTTGTTTGGTTTAGTGTGTTTGTTTTACAAGTTCATTCTTCCCCATATGGATTTTTAAAAAAAATAAAAAACAAATTAACAATTTAGAGAAAATTTTTGAGGACCCCCGCCATACGGCTCGTGGGACCCCAGTATGAGAACCTCTGGCTTAAGGAGTCAAATCTTTAAAAATTAATTTAAATTTGGTATTTTTTATTTCAAGCTGATATAGCTGTAAATCATTGTTGTTGGTCCTAAGGAACTGTTTTGGTTAAATTTAAAGAAAATTTTAAAGGTTAATATACGTATTTTTCCAAGCTTTTTCTCAGTTTTTTATTCAGTCAGTTCTTGTTGTTCATTTGTTGTTGTTTTTTTAAACATTTTTTATGCATTTGAGAATAAATTGAATCCCCCAAACTCTCTAGGGTTTGTTGTAGTACAATTATTTTTTCACTTATCTTTCATTGCATTGTGTTTGTGGCAGACTTTGGCTTGAGTAAAGAGTCAGTAGATGCTGATAAAAAGGCGTATTCCTTCTGTGGTACGGTGGAGTATATGGCCCCTGAGGTGGTCAACAGAAGAGGACACACACAGAGTGCAGACTGGTGGTCTTTGGGAGTACTTATGGTACACAAATCCATTCATRCATTTTGATAACGTGGTTTTATTTGCTGCATATTTATCAGATTTTCTTTTATATTATGTGTGTTTGCAGTTTGAGATGTTAACAGGAACATTACCTTTCCAAGGGAAAGATCGCAATGAGACCATGAACATGATTCTCAAGTGAGTTTGGATTTTAACACTTGAAACATGTTATACAAGAATGAATCCATAAATACCGTTGCCTCTTTCCACTTGTTGCTCTGCTCCTCTTCCCACTCAGAGCTAAGTTGGGAATGCCTCAGTTCCTCAGTTTGGAAGCTCAAAGTTTGCTGAGGATGCTGTTTAAACGTAACCCTGCTAATAGACTAGGTAAGGATATTCTGTGTTGTTTGTCACAATGCACAAAGCTCTCTTAGCTAGAGCTTTTGAACTTTTTTGGCATCTAACTGAACAACATCCGGATAACCAGTGAGAGAAAACAAACGTGTTGGTCCTCTTGACATCAGGGTAACTGAACCAAAGTGCTTTGTGTCTTTAGGGGCCGGGCCCGATGGCGTGGAGGAGATCAAACGCCACCCTTTCTTTTCCACCATTGACTGGAATGTGAGCAGACCCRCTTCTCCCCCTCGTTTCTCACATGCCCACACATACATGTGCACACATGGCTCCGCAGCTTCTGCTGAAGCTTCACACCTTCCAAGCGTTTGGCTTCCATGACTGGTGGCCATCGGTCCTGGCCACAGCAACTTTGTGTGTGTGTGGGAGTCTGGGCACCTGTCCAGTTCTTACTGTGTGAGCACTAATAGCCCTGTGTGAGCGTTTAAGAGCCAGCAGGATGCTATTGGCTGGACTTGGCTGCTGGGAGGATTGGAGGGGKTTAATCTTGGAGGCTTCTCTTGCACGTGTGTTCACACACAGCACGCACCTTGTTTTGATGTCTGACTTTTATTTGTGTGTGTGTTCCCGATTTTTGTTTTCTTAGAAGCTGTACAGGAGAGAACTGCAGCCCCCATTCAAGCCTGCAGCAGGTAAACCAGATGACACGTTCTGCTTCGACCCAGAGTTCACTGCTAAAACGCCTAAAGGTATACACACACACACACACACACACACACACACACACACACACACACTGCCTCTGCAGCCATGGAAACTGCATCTGAGTCCTGTCTACAACTGTTACTGTAAAATGTTTCACTTGTGTGTGTGCAATCTGTTGGTGTAATGAACTGTTTGTGTGTTCAGACTCCCCAGGTATCCCACCCAGCGCTAACGCCCACCAGCTCTTCAAAGGCTTCAGTTTTGTTGCCCCGACCCCCATGGATGAGAACAAGAGCTCCCCGATGCTCAGCATACTCCCCATCGTTCAGGTGAACACTAACKTCCACTTTTCATCAGGCCTTTATCACACTGACCCTTGAAAATGATTCAAGTAGGTGTTGATAGAAGATGAAATGTTTTTTTTTTTTTCTGTTTAGCTTTTGTTCGAGGTATTTTAGGAAAGACATTCTATTAATCATCAGTGCCATGCTTGGCAGTATTTTATCATTTGCAGCATGATTCAGGTCAAAACAAACCGACCCAATCCCCCTTATCAACAGTTTATTCTTGTTTCTCTTACAAACTTACAGAAACTTCACATTATTTTGTCAATCCCTTCCAGTTTGTCTGTTTTGGCTCTTGACTGCTTCTTTGCATTCCTCCTGTTGCGTTCTTGTATGAGAAAATATGAATGAGTTCAACCTGATATACCAGTGTTACAAAAATAATGGGAAAAATAGTTTTGTTTAGACAAAACTTGTTTATGCCAAAGTTATAAGCAAAGGTGTTTTTATATGTAGGTATATTTGAATCTTGACCTATGATAAAGTCCAGTTTTTAACATACATACATACATACATACATACATACTGTTACGACCCGGCT